TCTGGTGGAAGGTGTGAAACGGTCTTTAGGGATCCTGTTTAAACACTCAGTTGTCGGTCTTGGTCGGTGGTTCTTAAAGGTTTTTATCACCACTTACAAAAGGTTGGGCTTGTGGGTCGTTACCCTCGCTCAGGTAGCCAACCGCCAGATGTTAGCACTTCTGATGTTTATTTATTTATACCTTTAAACTAATTATTCCACCGGCGGTCTTTACAATACATAGCAATACATTAATTTTCACATTGCATTATTATAAAATGATCAAGACTTAGCGAACCCAAAGGTTCTATGGCGATACAGTCAATCTCTGTATACATACTCTGATCCTCCGGCCACCGTTCGAAGCGAAACCCGTTAGATTAGATTTAATCCTCCCACCTTCGCTTCGGTTTATCCCTAGAACTCTTAACACTAACACAGCTCATAACAACCTTTTTGAGATTCTTTCGTTACTAAGATTTATTTTATTATTTTTGTTGTTCGGAAATACTTTTTCAAGTTTTATTTGCAAAAAAAAAAAGATTGTTTCTCGTATTATTGCTGTTTTTTTTTTTTTCAATTGAATACATTTATTTTACGAAATATTATAAGTTTAAACCAAAATATTATTATTATTTCTTAAAGGCTTCTCAGGTACTTCAAGAACACCTAGACGACATAGCTTGTTGTGCTAAAAGGTGGAGAATAAAAATGAACGAGCCTAAGAGTCAATTTGTATCATTTACACTTAAACATAACTCTTGTCCTCCAGTGTTCTTTAATAATATTGCTCTAACACCTTCAAAAACTGTACGATATTTGGGTCTCCACTTGGACAAACGACTGGACATGGACATACCACATAAAACAAAAAAGAAAAGAACTTAATCAGCGATACGGATTTCTTTCTAGGCTACTTGACAGACGTTCTAAATTATCTGTGACTAATAAATTAACTATTAACAAAGTCCTCATTAAACCACTATGGACATATCGGATCGAACTATGGGGAACAGCAAAGAAATCAAATATAAAAATCATTCAGTCATTCCAGTCAAAAGTCCTTCGGAAAATTGTAGACGCACCCTTTTACGTTTCAAATATCACGTTACACACAGATCTTAACACTTCTTTCATCACGGCAACTGTCACTGACCGCTTTAATAATTTTCATGACAGACTGACTCTAAATTCCAATCCACTTACTCAAGCTCTATCTCCTGCCACAAATTCATATAATCCGCCCAGAAGACTGCTGAGGCGGTGGCCAAGAGACTTATTGCATTGAGCTACTTGCTGCATTATCTTTTTTGAGTGTGTATTTGTTATTATGTTATAATGTATGTGTTATTTTACTACGTTTTTTTTTTTTGTCTTTTTATTCTTCTCCTTGATATCATATTTGCTGAATACTAAGGTAGATGGCAAATTTATTGTGAGCCACAAATATGTACAACTAATAAATAAATAAAATAAATATAAATATTCGATTTAAAAAGATATTGTTCCGAGAAAACTTCAAAACCTTTCATAATTCTGCAGCAATCTATTGCATTTTTTTTTACATCTGGCGACGTTTTGAGCCACTATTAGTGAATACAACTTATACGTAACATAATTATATAATCTTATAAGAACTATGTGTTTGTCTTCTTTGTACTTGGTTTTATTCAAACTCCTGTGTTAACTCATTTAAACAGCGTAATGTCCACTATGAGCTATGAGTTCACATGTAATTATTAGGCTTACAGGGATTTCTGTAATACTATATTAATTAGAATGATTTTCAGTTATAAAAATAATTAATCTAAAAAAGTATTAATTATGTTTATTTAAAAATGGTGTTTCCTATATTTCCTGAAGGTACATATGATTGTTCAAGTTACGTTGGTTATCGTAGCTCTCTCAGCACATTTTGCCACTCTGCAGATTCTCCTTGGACTCCGCCTGCCTTAGGGTACCGAAATAATATTGGGGGAGGGAGGGGTCTTATCCGAAAATCCTCCCTGAAGGTTTGAGAACCTACACGCTGGTCTCTCCACACATGGCTGTTCTTCACTGTCGATTGCAATTCAAGAGTTATATTGATTCAAAGAAATTTAAAAAATCATTAAAAAAACATCTTGAGAAGATCTTTCAACCGGCGATGGAACCTAAAGCCGCGGTAGCATCGCTCGTAGCGATAGGGTGGAATCCCAGTGTGGAGGTACGTATGGTTGATTAAGCTACGTCGGTTCGCGTAGCATTTGCCGCACACGTCGCATCTGTGCAACTTCTCCTTCGCCTCCTCTCGCCTCTCCATCCGTTACTGTATTCACCATGGACTGCGATTCAAGAGTTGTATTGATTTCAAAGAATATATTTTAAAAGAAATTTATAAGATTACTGAGAACGCGTTGCTTTAATTGACGATGATTACTATAAAATACACGATATAATAATATATAAAATATATTTATAGATAGATGTATAGTCCTATATACATACTGAGGGATTCATACCAATCTCTCAAACTAGATAAAACAGAAATCATCCTTAAAATGAATCTTTAAATTACGATGATATCTAAAGCAGCGATGGCAGCTTTCGTCTTCCAGTATGGAGGTATATGTGATTCTTCAAGCTACACTGGTTAGCTTACGCTGGTAATTCTTGCCACATTCCTGGCACACGTAGATCTTGTTCTTGGGCTCTGAATCGAAATGGATGGGATTCGCTCCCCTCCCCCCCAACTTCCTCCTTGGAGATGTGCAAACCTGCACGCCGACCTCTCCAAGTTGTCGTCTTGAATGATTGCTTTCGACAATTCTTCACCGTCGTCTGCGATTCAAGAGTTATAATAATTTCGAAAAATATATTTACAATGAACTTAACTAATCATTGATAACGTTAATCGTCATTCATTACCATATGATTACTGATTCCCGTAACTAATCCAAGACACCTCCCAATCCTAGAAATTCGCCATAGGCTCTACCACAATAAAAATAATAAATATAAACTATAAAAATATAAACGACAATTATAATTGAATACTAGCATTTAAGATAAACGTAAGGTTGGATATTACTTACAATACTACAACTATATAAAATCATGATTCCCTGAACTGCTTATCATACCCCCTAACAATATGGTTCGGTCCTGTGGTACACCTCTAAGTGTGACTTAGAAACCGCAATGGCATCGCTTGCAACTTCCTTTCATGCCTTAGCTGATATGCATAGATTTGACACATCTCTTTTGACAAATATAAAATATCAATATCTTATAATACTATCCATAACTCTAGAATAAGCATACAGTATTAAAATATAAATATATATATATATATATAAATAAAAAAATTATTCTGTATAAGTATAAAGAAATTTCTATATATTTCTCTAACGTTAATCGTCATTCATTACCATATGATTACTGATTCCCGTAACTCATCCAAGACACCTCCCACACGTAGAAATTCGAAGAACATCTACCACAATAAAAATAATTTTAAAAAATAGGTAAACATCAATTATAATTGAAAACTAGCATTTAAGAAATACGTAAGGTTGAATATTATATACAATACTACAACTATACAAAATTATGATTCCCTGAACTGCTTATCATCATGCCCTTTAACAATATGGTTCGGTACTGTGGTACACCTCTAAGTGTGACCGAAACTAGAAACAACAATGGCATCGCTTCCAGCTATAGATCAGACTCCCTTTCATGCCTTAGCTGGTATGTATAGCTTTTGAAACATCTCGTCCACGTATAGTTTCTTCTTTGGCGCTAAAATATAAGGCATCTCAACTTTTCCCTGCTGTTGAAACCATACTTTTTACGCTTTTACCGAAATTTCCGCTGACATCTTTCTGAACATGGCAAAGATTTCTGAAGAATTGCTGGAGATGCATAACCAACCCTTAAACTCGACTGACAACGTTCTCTCTTCTGGTGATATTTCAACCGGCGATGGAACCTAAAGCCGCGATGACATCGCTCGCAGCGATAGGGTGGAATACCAGTGTGGAGGAAGGTGTGGTTGATTAAGCTACGTCGGTTCGCGTAGCATTTGCCGCACACGTGGCATCTGTTCAGCATCTCCTTCGCCGCCTCTCGCCTCTCCATTCGTTGCCGAACTTTACCGTGGACTGCGATTCAAGAGTTGTATTGATTTCAAAGAATAATAAAAGAATGATAAAAAAAATAAATCAATGTGTAAATGACATACATATCTCCAGGTAGCACGATATTGGCGGAACCTCGCGGAGCCAATCGAACTCCCCTGAATCTAGCAGAGCCAGCAGCTCTTCACTACTTGGGAAGTTGGCCATGATAAAAGATATTTTCTAGAAGAGTGAACCTTCTAACACGGAGACTCAAGAGGGACTGACCATCTTCAGGTACGTTGGTCAGGTACAGAACTCAAAAAAGAGTGGGGGTAATAGCATCCAAACTGACCACAAATTAAAAATAAATCATAAATTACATTGGAATTAAAGTCGATTACTGCCTATCACTTTACTATACATATATAATTATATAACTCCCCTGCATCTAACAACAAATAAAAACAATTATAAAATAGCAATGTCTTATTGTAAAATTTCCTAGTTTCTTTTGCCGCATACTCCTCTTGTTTATCTTTTATGATTTTTCTTTCCCATTCCCGCTTATTCTTTAGACAAATTTCTTCGACTCTTTTTTTTTCTATTATGTAAATTTCCATTGTCGCTCTAGTTGTCCTCTTTAAATATTTGGCTCTCGCGTCATTCCTCTCTGAAATTGCTTGTAAACATTCTTCATCAAACCATTCGTTTCTTTCATTCCTGAGTTTACACCCTAGCACTTCCACAGCAACCTCATTCAACACCGTCCTTATTCTCCGCCATCGCTCATCAACTGTATGCTCTTTTACATTGCTTTCATTTAATCTTTGAGTGACCTTTCTTTCAAATGTTTCAATTCCTTAATGGCTATCCTTAACTCTAGAATAAGCATGCAGTATAAATATATATATAAAATTATTAACGCTTAAAATTAATACGCTGGTTAGCGTAGCTTTTGCCGCATTCCGGATACTCGTGAATCTTCTGTCTCGGCTCTGCCGCGTGCATCCTCGCAGCGAAATCGATGGGGGTAGGATTCGCCCCCCCCCAACCTCCTCCTTGGATGTGTGCAAACCTGCACGCCATCCTCTCCAAGTTTCCTTCTTCTTCGACTCTGCCAAGGACTTCCTTCAGAGGAATCGAAGGGAGTGGGGTTCGTCCCCCAACATCCTCCTTGGAGATGTGCAAACCTGCACGAAGTTTTAGCTTTTGCCGCATTTCCGACACTCGTGAATCTTTTTTCTCCTCGAAGGATGTATCTGGACCTGCACGAAGGCCTCTCCAAGTTTTCTCCTTCTTCAATGATTGCTCGTTTATCGCTTGTTATATTAATTCAAAAAATATATTTACAATAAAGGTAACTAATCATTGATAACGTTAATTGTCAATCATTACTATACTATTACTAGTTCACGTAACTTTTCCCAGACACCTCCCACACATAAAGATTCGCCTTAGGCTCTACCACAGTAAAAATAATAATAAAAAAAAAATCATTGAAATATTTATATAACCATCAATTATAATTGAAAAGAAGCATATAGGAAAAACGTAAGTTTGAATAATATATAAAAAACTACAACAATACATAATCATCATTTTCTCAACTGCTTATCATACCCACCGAGAATATCGTTCAGTCCTGTGGGACACCTTTAATTCTTAGTGAAACTGAAATAAGCCATTGTACCTGCACACAATCCGTCGTATCGAAGACTGCGCTGTTAGCTTTTACCATTTACCTCGCACATGTACATCTGTCAAATTAATTTTGTACTGAATATCCTACTTTGATACTTATTTGAGGCATGCTTGCCACACTCTCAAACTCGACCGACATTAATGTTCTTCTCTCTGAATCTCCAATCATTGCCGGTGATACGAAAACCGCATCTATAAAGTAGCTTCCCTATGTGCAGATAGCCGGCTTTATCTTAAATTAAAGTTAAATATTACCATATATAAACGTATAAATTATTTAAAAATATATTGGGACAAAGGTATGCTGATATTTCTAAATCTTCATCAGCTGATACCTGATATCTGCCATGGTGGTAGAGAACAAGCTAAACTAAACAACATAAAAAATATATCAAGCTAGAAATTACTTATATATCTCCATGAAGCTCTACGTAATTACGTTAATGTCACTAAGCCAGCTGCATCAAATGATTCCAACAAGTCATCGTAAGTCGGGATTTCTTCTGTTACTGCTAAAGGTGAATTCTTCTGCATAGACTGCAGAGGATATTGCACTCTTCAGGCACGTTGTCCTGACCACCCGGAAATTTTGAAACATCCAGGTCTCGAAGCGAGTCTTATTCCAGCAGAGCGACCTCTTTTTCCTAATTACAAACACTGACTTAAGTACGTTAATGTCTTTAAGTCAGCTGCATCAAATGATTCCATTAAGTCTTCTCAAGTCGTAATTGCTCTACAGAAGATTTGATCTTGCTCAAGGTGGAATATATAGTAATAACATTACTATAAATATATAGTTATATAACTTTACTATATATTAAACGTCTCCAATATTAATTATAATGACAAAATATGTCAATGTGTAAATGACTTACATACCTCCATTTAGAAGGATATTGGTATTATTCTATTTTATTTATTTATTTGGTATTTATACATATTTTATACAGTACACAGCGCAACAAAATTCTTACAGCTTTCTCAATTTCTAATTTAAGCCAGCAGTAAGCAGCAGTTTATGCAGCTCCTCACATGAAACTCTACGTAATTACGTTAATGTCACTAAGCCTGCTGCATCAAATGATTTCAACAAATCAGCTGTATTTCTTGTTATTGCTAAAGGTGAATTCTTCTGCATAGACTGTAGAGGTTATTATAATCTTCTGGCACGTTGTTCTGACCATCAGAAAATTTTAAAATATCCAGGTCTCGAAGCGAGTATTATTCCGCCCAATCTTATTCAATCAACAAGTCTTTACACGCGTGGGAGCTATAATCCGCCATGCTTGAACGTTTGTTGTCGTAGCACTGGCACTTCAAACAGTGCCAGTAGCTCTTCATAAGTCGAGTATCTGGTATCGGCCATAGTGATAGACGAAAAGCTATGTTCATTCGAATCATTTAACGTTAAAAAAAATTTGTACTAAACTGAAAAACATAAAAAAATATGTTAAGGGATAAATTACTTACAGATCTCCAAGTATTTGCTAACTGGGGTGTCAATATACATGTAAAGGACCAGCCAAGAAGGTAACACTGCAGCGACGGTGGCGCAGTCTGCACTAAAACTATTAGTAGAAGAGAAAAATGGGCGACTGAAACCAGAAGAAGATGAATTATCCACTCTCTTCAAGACTGCCATTCATACTCTGTTCTACCATGGGAAGAGGTATGGAGTAGAACACACTCAGCCACATCAAGTAAAATATTGTAAACCTTTATGCATCTTCTGTACCATATCATAGAAAAAATGATGGTATATCCCAATTCAAAAAGGAGTGGGGCTAATACTATCCAAAGTGGCCACAAGGTTAAAATGTATCACAAAAAAAATTAGCTGGATACGTCAGTATCATAAGGGGTGTGCTAGGGACGATGAAGATTTCATGTCAGTTGTGGTTTAGTTTTGAAAATTAAACAACTTGAACAACTAGAAGTGTATAGGAGACTTTCAGACGGTTTTGATGTAGAAGAGTACTGCGTACTAAAAACAGCATGATATGTTTATTCACATCATAAATAGAATGTTTTTTTTTTTGTTCTTTTTTTATTTAGAAAGAATATATTTTGCCTCAATTAAGGGCATTGAATATTTAGGATGAATGAAATACAAACATACCATATATACAATAAAAGAAAAACAAGATTATAACAAAATAAAATAAAACTTGGAGTAACAGAATAAATCGATCATGATACAACATTAAATGAATAAAAACACATTCATACTTATTTACAATATTTACAGTCAGCCGAGGGAACTCCAAGTCGTTCCTTTTTCCCCCACGTGTGGAGGTTTCCAAGAGATGCCTTCTCTCTCAGCCGCATCACTGGGATGGGAATCCAGTGGAGACTAAGTGAGGGCACTAAAGCCACATACGCTCATGACTTGATTGGAGAAGCTGGCCATCACCAGGAATCCAATGACGTCTTTACAAAAGATTTCTGTATTTATCCGGAGAGTCCGGCATTAGTTTGGTGTCATTTGTTCTACTATGGCATACGTATTTACCGTTGTCAATTATTTTATTGAGATGCTGACAGAATAAATCGAAATGTTTAATGTTTCGAAGAAATATTGGAGGTGTTTTTGGCTCTCTAGGGGTTGGTGCTGTTTCCATTGTATCTTGTGAAGATAATATCTGGTATTGGTTGGTGGGGAAAAACAGATTGGTCTGTTATTTGTGTTGAAGAACCATGTTGTGGATCATTAATGGTTTCAGTAAGTCTGTCAGGTGTTGATGGTGGTATTTTCCTATTGGAACGCCCTGGCCTTGACTTAACAGGTGAGCTTTGAGAGCTGTTATTGCCTAAACTTCTCGATCTTTTACTATTCCTAGACATTATCATGTGGTAATATCTCATTTAAATAATCTGGCTGAAAAATTAAAATAACTCGATGTTAAAATAATTACGTAGAAAGGTGGAGTGGCAAGTGACGTGAACCTACCTCTCTGGCAGCCTTCCGGCTACTGAGTGAGGAAGGGAGACTGCTTATAGATAACAATATAATAATTAACCTTTCAACTCAAATATATTGTTGTTACCATTGTTCAATAAACTTGATAAATAAGCGATTACTCACTTTGTTGTGTTCATTTGATGAGCGAATTGTTAATTGTTCAAATAACACAGTTTATAATCACTTCAGTTCACTAATTCACTGGTATTTTAATAATTTGTGGGAGACGAAGTAACAGGTGATTTGTAATATATTAGCGCACACGCAGAACTCAAAATAGAATGCAAGGATAATATTTTATAATAGAAAATGTTATCTTAACTTTGTATATAGAAATTTTATATTTCTATTATTATTTTTTTTTTTGTTGGCATTATAGATCTTCTGCCACCTAAACATTTCTGATCCATCGCGGCCTGTCTTAGAACATTTCCTTCAAGTTATCTGCTCACAGCTGTATTTCATCCTTGTTTATTCTATTTATCCATTTGCTTTTTGGCCTTCCGTTTAGTATTTTGCCGTCTATTGAGGCATTCTTATTCAGCAGTGGTGCAACAATTGGCGCATCAAATTAATCAATATGTAAACATGTCACTTTCACCCTCCAACCTAGATCCTAGATAAAAGACTGAATTGGAATCAAAATACAAGCCTTAAAAGAAACAAAGTAAACTGACGATTCGACCAGGTATACAGATTATTAAACAGAACATCTCATCTTACAATTCAAAACAAATTATTAATCTATAAGAACGTTCGAAACCTATAGACTTGAACTGTGGGGGACAGCTAAATTTTCCGTAAACAAATTTTAAAATAATTCCGTAAAAATTGCCTTAGAATCTGCATAATTTAGTTAGATTTTACAACATTTTAAATAGTCTTTTCTGTGATACACAGCGTTGATTAGGTTAGAATAAAAAGTGTTTTTTACAAAATTTAATTTAATTTAAAATTTTAAGTAAAGTAAATCTTTCTAAGTTATCTTCTTTTCATTTTTTTTTAAATATGAATAGATGGTATTTTATTAAATCATTGGACAAAATATGAATGCGGGATAACAATCGTATAAAATCCTTCCTCCTTCCTATAATCCTCCTCGACGATTAAAGCGACAGTGGCCCCGAGACCTTTAGTAAATATTCTTTTGGAGTCCTGCCCTCTTTCAGTTTCCACTTGCTTCTCATACCAGTGAATTTAAATATTGTATATAATTGGTATGAATGTGTATAAGAAGATTACTTTTATTTATTTATGTATATTTTTTTATTAATATTTATATTTGGTCAAATATAAATGCTTATTAAACAAAATTTTTATTTAATTATATCATATATAATTTCGTACAGCTTTGGGCACTGAACGATTTTCAAACATTTCTTGTCACATATTATTTACCACCTATCTATTTTTTTTTAATTATTGGTCAATATCATTTCGACAAAAGTTCTTTTTTTTCCTAGTCAGAATTTATATTGGTGATAATTTTTTCTTTCTAAAAACAGAAAAATACGCTTTTGTTACTTTGTACATGAAAATAATTTTCGAATAAATAATAAAAAACTAATAACAATAATATTCATTTACTGATATTATATATTGATTTCATTCTTACTTCTTAATTAATTAATTTCTTAGGCAAAATGTATATATTATTTAAAAAAACTATTTTTTACTAATAAAATTCTTTATTAAATTCTGTTTTCCTTGCTTATTATTAACTTTGTTATGTTAACAATTATGTATTATTAGCAATTATTTTATATATATATATATATATATATATATATATATATATATATATATATATATATATATATATATATATATATATATATATATATATGAGTTTAACTTTACAAAAGATCCTGAAAATAATATTTATTTTTATTATTGTTAAAACGGCGATTTTATTGTTTATCTAAGTTAAGATTAATTTCTATCCTAATTGTATACCTCAAGGAATTATAATCTGTCTTCGATTGGTTTAATCAGTAAAAATGGAAAAAACCATGAATTTTTATTTTATTTTATAACTATTTAATTTTATCATTAATTCTAAAATATATGTTTTCATGAAGGTAAATATAATATATTTGTATTCGGTGTCTATCACAGTTTATTTCTTACGTTTCATATTTACATGCGAGCACCACGTCATCCTTTTGTCAAATGTGAGTCCAAGCTAAAATACCTTATGTTTGAGGAATTTGGTTGTTGATAATATAAACAGGATGGCGGGTATTTCTTTGAATATTAAATGCTTTATGCTTGGATCTGTCATGATTAATTCCAATTTTTCATTGTTTGAACCAAGCTTGTAATTCAAGTAAGTGATATTGTGAAATTGGTGAGATCTATGTAGTCCTCTAAATACTGACCTCTAATTTTCAGTTGATCAACATATATCGACTATTTACCAACGTTATTATACAAATTTAAACAAACATTACTATGTGGTAAAATTAGATTTCCAAATAACACAAAAAGCATACACATTTTCTTAATATTTATTTAGAAGTTTACGAAATTTACTAAAATAAAATAAAAAAATTGTTGAAATCGAACAATTAGGTGCAAAGATATGTGTTATGTGTGCAAAAATTATTTCTTTTTTTTGAATTTTTGAAAAAGGTTACATTAACTGAAATAATGTTTTCTATTTTTCTTTGAAAATTGCTAATAATGAAATAAAAATTATATAGTCCAATATTATATATATTAGGAATCACATTTTATTTACTTTTTCCTTATGTCACAAGGAAAGTAATATTACTTTCGATGTATAATAATACATTGTGTAATAATTGCAGCGTTTTTTTAATTGTTATTAAATTTATGTATTATCAACTGTTAAAAAATTTAATAGCATAAGTATAAGTTTAGATTTTTTTCTATTATATTAAAATAAATAAAAGATAAATCCTTTAGAACCACTTTAGTTTTATTAAGACAATTGGTATTAAAATTGTTTATGTTTGAAAAATCAATAATTATTATCAAGAAGATGTCTCATTAGAGGACCTTAGACCTTAAAGCAGATAAGAGTTGTCTGTAGTTATTTAGAACTATTACTGGTGTTTGTTGTTGATGCTATTTCTAACTATTTAGAATTATATCTATAGGGTTTAATTCCCTCTGAAATACATTTACATAAAATGTATCTATGCCATGATTACATTTTTTTTTCTTCCTGTAAAAGTTGTATTTTATTTATAATAAAACATTTCAGAAACTCATTTCATCAAAGAATAAATTCAATTTAGTTAAAACCGTAGATTTTATGAGCATTTCAGTTGACAAAATGACGAACTCTAATTTCAAGTTTTTTTGTTATTAATTTTAGTTATAAAATTTATATCTTTATTCACTGTTCTATATTTCAACACAGCGATCGCCTACAATCAACTTACTCACTGTCTGTACACATATATATTTTCCTGCCACTAATATTACTAAAATAAATTTACCCAAAAATGTTAAATTTTGAGTTAGTCATTCTATTAACTGAAAGAGTGAAATTGTCGGCTCCTTTATAAAATTAACAACATTAACATAAAATTTGATGAATAGCTTCATCTAATCGTAATTTACCATGTCTTTATTTATGAAAATTCTCGAAATTGGTAGTTTTCAATTTGGAGACCTTCAAATTGTTTCAGTTAAATTAGGTACTAAATACTCAAGAATCCATTTCATTATGAATCTTAAGATAATTTGATCACGAAATTGCGGGAAAATACCAAACGGCAAAATATTTTTGTAATCCACCTTATTTCTCGATTTCGTGATCAAATTATCTTTCAATACAAGTACAAAGCAGTTGAGTATTCTAGAGTTTTTAGTAATTTCTAGTTAATTTAATAAATCGTGTGAGAAACGTCTCATATTTCAGAATATTCCTAGTCTGTATCTCGGAGTAATGGATGAGTCTTATTTTGACATGATTGATGATTTAATAAGGACTCAATTGTTCTATTAATTTAATTTTTAATAATATCCATGGTTTGATAGATTTCTTCTAATTTAAATGTGGAATCTGAACGAGATAATTTATAGTTTTACATATCGTTTTAAAAATATTTAAAGTATAATTGTCCAATTTATTAAAAAATCATCCACTGTCATCAAATATATTCTCTTAAAAGTATAATATAAATTATTTATTATAATATCGTTTTTATATTATTTACTTTTGTTTTACTGGGGAAGGAGAGAGAGGGCAATATAAAATTATGTATTATTACCGCCTCTGTTAGCATGACCCAGGGAGAAAAAAAAAATGTATTTTTCAAAATAATTAGATTTTTTTTAAACAACTATAACAACAATTTATGACCAAGTCGTAGTTCCTAAATGAATTTTTTTTTTTTTTTTTGTCTATAAAATATGTATTTACGCCTGTCAACAATAAGTTGACAATCAGCAAATGTGATGGCGATAATGATATAATGACATGACAGGCATGGGGAAGGAAAGTACTCAGCAGTACCTCTTCCCTAACTTGTTCCAATTACTTAGGTTGTCTAAGGAAGGAGATCCCTCATCCAACGCCTTTTTAGTCTCCTGTTCATGTTCTGAGGTATGTCAGTTGTGGCCATGTCTCTTCTAAGTCTGTTATTATGTCCATTTAAATTTGTGTAAAATCGTTGATATAGGGTCGTTATATGTTGGTCAACTGTTGGAAAGTGGAGGTCAGTATGTAGAGTTTTGTTAGTCACGTACCAAGGTGCTTTTGTTATGAGACGCAATAATTTTGATTGGAACGTGAACTAAATGAATTTGAATTTTATATTTTTAATAAATCGAAATTTGTTTTTTCTTTGATTATTGTGAGTTAAAATTTTAAAGATTTTGAAATTCGATCAAAAACAAAAAATCATATTTATATAGCATAAAGATTGTAAAGTACTGAATTATTCTTATAATGTTCAATAAGTCATTGTAAAATTAAAATTTTATGAATTGTTAAAGGGTAATAGTCGACTGTTCTATTCTGAATATTAAACACCTTTCAAATTATTTTGAATTGATATTATTTAATACCAACAATATTTAGCGATTAATTAATAGTTTATCAACTTCTTAAAAGATTTTAGCAAAGAATTAAAAAACCATAGGAAATAGTGACCATTTTAATATAAAACTAATTATGTAAAAAACATCTCAATTGCACTAATAATTAAACTGTAAATAATATAATTTGTTTAATAATTAACTGTTTTGTAGAATAGGTTAATAATTAGATTTTCTTTGTTAATCATGTTTTAAATTTTTAAGGTTTATAAAATCGTTTATTACAATAAAAAAAAGAAAGTAAAAGAGCATCATAATACAAGTAAATTATTTCAATGAGATAATGTAAAATATGTATATATTATATTGATATTAAAAATATATATACAAAAGCACAACATGACGTTTATTGAGTTTTACTGTTTATTATATTTTACATTGATAAGGGAGAGGAATTTGAAATTGTTATTAATATTTGTAATAGTTGTTAAATATTACCGCCTCTGTTAGCATTACCCAGGGAGCACCGCGAATACATTCCCCAAAAAATGTATTGAACATAATAATCAATTATTATGTAGAATGAAAAATATATACATAGTGAGGGATCTTTACCAATCCCTCAAACTAAATAAAACAATAATCATCCTTCAGATGAGTCTTAAGGTGACGATGATAACGGAAGCCACGATGGCAACGTTCGCAGCTATATGGCATTCTGGCGTTATGGCAATTAATATGGTTTTTCAAGCTACGATGGTTAGCGTAGCTTTTGTCGCATTCCTGACAAACATGAACCTTCTTGCTCGGCTCTGCCGCGTGCCTCCTCGCAGCGAAGTCGAAGGGGGTGGGGTTCGCCCCCCCAACATCCTCCTTGGAGGTGTGCAAAAATACACGAAGGCCTCTCCAAGTTTCTTTGTTCTTCAATAATTGCTCGTGGCAATTCATCACCTTCGTCAACAATTGAAGAGTTATATTAATTTTATTCTTATCTAGGATAGTTACATCAACAAAATTGTGGCAAAACCTCAAGAGGGTGTTACAACATAGAAAACTGAAAATCTTATCAGAATTCTTAATGAAAAAATGTTTTTCAAAACTCATTTGTATGTTTTTTAAAGAAATATAACAACCTTTTATGACTATGGTAGAATTTCTAAATCGATTCGAATTTTACATTTTTAAAAAATCGAAATTCGTTTTTTCTTTGACTATCGTGAGTTAAAATTTTTAATGATATTGAAATTCGATTAACAAAAAAAAAAATAATATTCATATAGCATGGGGTGGAATACCAGTGTGGAGGTACGTATGGTTGACTAAGCTACGTCGGTTCGCGTAGCACTTGCCACACACGTCGCATCTGTGCAACTTCTCCTTCGCCTCCTCTCGCCTCTCCATCCGTTGGCGAACTTCAGCGTGGACTGCAATTCAAGAGTTGTATTGATTTCAAAGAATAACAAAAGAATGATAAAAAAAATAAATCAATGTGTAAATGACATACATATCTCCAGGTAGCACGATATTGGCGGAACCTCGCGGAGCGAATCGATCTCCCCTGAGTCTAGCAGAGCCAGCAGCTCTTCACTACTCGGGAAGTTGGCCATGATAAAAGATATTTTCTAGAAAAGTGAACCTTCTAACACGGAGACTCAAGAGGGACTGACCATCTTCAGGTACGTTGGTCAGGTACAGGACACAAAAAGAAGTGGGGGGAATAGCATCCAAACTGACCACAAATTAAAAATAAATCATAAATTACATTGGAATTAAAGTCGATTACTGCCTATCACTTTACTATACATATATAATTATATAACTCCCCTGCATCTAACAAAAAATAAAAACAATTATAAAATAGCAATGTCTTATTGTAAAATTTCCTAGTTTCTTTTGCCGCATACTCCTCTTGTTTATCTTTTATGATTTTGCTTTCCGATTCCCGCTTTTTCTTTAGACAAATTTCTTCGACTCTTTTTTTTTTGTATTATGTAAATTTCCATTGTCGCTCTAGTTGTCCTCTTTAAATATTTGGCTCTAGCGTCATTCCTCTCTCCTATTGCTTGTAAACATTCTTCATCAAACCATTCGTTTCTTTCTTTCCTGAGTTTACACACTAGCACTTCCACAGCAACCTCACTCATCACCGTCCTTATTCTCTGCCATCGCTCATCAACTGTATGCTCTTTTACATTGCTTTCATTTAATCTTTGAGTGACCTTTCTTTCAAATGTTTCAATTCCTTAATGGCTATCCTTAACTCTAGAATAAGCATGCAGTATAAATATATATATATAAAATTATATTATATAAGTATAAATAAATTTCTTTATGTATATATTAACCTTATAATCTATATAAAATACCAAAACTATAAAAGATTTAAGGGTTACTCAAAGGGTGATCTCTCAAGCTACGCTGGTTAGCGTAGCTTTTGCCGCATTCCCGATACTCGTGAATCTTCTTTCTCGGCTCTGCCGCGTGCATCCTCACAGCGAAATCGATGGGGGTAGGATTCGCCCCCCCAACCTCCTCCTTGGAGGTGTGCAAACCTGCACGCCATCCTCTCCAAGTTTCCTTCTTCTTCAACTCTGCCAAGGACTTCCTTCAGAGGAATCGAAGGGAGTGGGGTTCGTCCAACAACATCCTCCTTGGAGGTGTGCAAACCTGCACGAAGGCCTCTCCAAGTTTTCTCCTCCTTCAATAATTCTTCGTGGCAGTTCTTTACCGTCGTCTACGATTTCACAGTTATATTAATTTCGAAAAATATATTTACAATAAAGTTAACTAATAATTGATAACGTTAATTATCATTCGTTACCTTATGATTACTGGTTGCGCAACTTTTACCAGACACATCCCACACGTAGAGTTTACGCTCTACCACAGTAAAAATAATTAAAAAAAAATTCATTGAAATATTCATATAATCACCAATTATAATTGAAAAGAAGCATTTATTAAAAACGTAAGTTTGAATAAATTTTTTTTTTTTATTAAACCCCTCTTCCGTTAGCTCCATTCAGCTGGGTTTGAATAATATATGAAATGCTACAACAATACATAATTATCGTTTTCTCAACTGCTTATCATACCCACCGAGAATATCGTTCAGTCCTGTGGTACACCTTTAACATTGAGAGGAACCGAAAAGAGCGATTGTACCTGCACACAGGCCGTGGTATCGGAGTCTGCGCTGTTAGCTTTTACCATTTTCTCGCACAGGTAGATATTCTACTTTTATGCTACGACTTGTTCGCATCTGTCAAATTAATTGTGTACTGAACATCCTCCTTTGATACTTATTTGAGCTATGCTTGCCACACCCTCAAACTCGGCCGACATTAAAGTTCTTTTCTCTGAAGCTTCTTTGATTGCCGGTGATACGAAAACCGCATCTATAAGCCAGGTTTCCTATGTGCAAATAGCTATAGTTTCGCCGGCTTTATCTTAAATTAAAGTTAAATATTATCATATATAAACTTATAAATTATTTACATATATACTGGGACAAAGGTATGTTGATATTTCTAAATCTTCATGAGCTGATACCTGATATCTGCCATGGTGGTAGAGAACAAGCTAACTTAAACAACATAAAAAATATATCAAGTTAGAAATTACTTATATATCTCCTTGAAGCTCTACGTAATTGCGTTAATGTCACTAAGCCAGTTGCATCAAATGATTCCAACAAGTCATCGTAAGTCGGGATTTCTTCTGTTACTGCTAAAGGTGAATTCTTTTGCATAGAATGCAGAGGATATTGCACTCTTCAGGCACACTGTCCTGACCACCTGGACATTTTGATATCAGGATCTCGAAACGAGTCTTATTCCGCCCAATCCTATTCCATCAACAATTGTTTACACGTGTGGAAGCTATAATCAGCCATGCTTGAACGTTTGCTGTAGTTGTAAGTAACTTCCGTGCACTGGCTGATGAGGAAATCTTAAGATACGTTGGTACGGTTCAGACCTCAAAAAAGAGTGGGGGTAATAGTATCAATATGTAAATGACTTACATATCTCCATGTAGAAGATTTTTACATATCTCTATAATTTTTCCCACCAGAACTCAGTTTTTCCAACTGCTTGGAAAAAAGCATTAGTCAGACCTATCAACAAAATTCCCAATCCTACCTCTCCTAAAGACTACCGCCCAATCTCCATTCTTTCTAACCTTTCTAAACCTCTGGAAAGAATAGCTCAATCCCAAATCTCTATATTCCTTGAAAACTCAAAACTACTCGATCCTCTCCAATCTGGTTTCCGACCTGGCTTCTCCACACAATCCGCCCTACTAAAAATTACCAATGACTTACATACCGCAATGGACGAAAATGTTAACTGTATTAATACTTCTCGACTTTTCCAAAGCTTTTGACTCCTTAGACCACTCTATACTCTATACTAAATTAAAATCTCTATCCTTCTCCGACAGCTCTATCCTCTGGTTACAGTCTTTCCTATCCGACAGAACTCAAGCAGTCAGCATTCCAAACCAACCCCTATCTTCCTTTCTTACACTGTCCTCTGGAGTGGCCCAGGGTTCGAGCATTTCCCCTCTCCTTTTCAACTCCTACATAAATGATCTTTCCAAATCCATCTACCACTGTTCACATCATTTATACGCTGATGACACCCAAATATATTTTTCCTTTCATCCTTCTGAGCTACTAGTCGCGTTCGCCAATATTCAGGCTGACCTAGATAGGATCAGTGCCTGGGCAAGTCTGAATAATTTAAATCTAAATGCGATGAAAACTCAGGCCATTATTATAGGTTCCAGTCCTATTCTTAAATCCATCTCCTTCCTTCCTCCTTTAGTCATCAACGATCATCCTGTCACATTCAGTTCATCCGTTAAAAACCTAGGAATCACCATAGACGAAAACCTCTCCTGGAAACCCCATATTGCCCTCATCTCCCGTAAGTCAATAGGTACCCTTAAGCTATTTCATCGCTCCCGCCACCTACTCCCACAACCCATCCGCAAGCTCCTTGTATCCTCTCTCATTTTCCCCCACTTTGACTACGGCTGTGTGGTGTACGGAGGCATCCCGATGGTACTCGAGGATAGATTGAAGCGACTCATGAATACGTGCTTAAGATTTGTCTTCGGTACATCAAAGCGATCTCATGTGTCCCACCTTTACGACGAGTTAAAGTGGCTCTTCCCTTCTTTCCGCAGACAATATTTCCTCGGATCTTTCCTATTCCAAACAATCAACACTAGACACCCTTCTTACATCTACAGTCTCCTACAGTTTAAACCCGTGGTCCATTCCCAGAAAACAAGATCCCGTGTTTCCGACCTTTATATCACTTCCCATAGAACTAAGACGTTTGAATATTCCTTTATTTCCCGATCCACAGTCTTCTGGAATTCCTTGCCATCTGAAATCCATCATGCCTCCTCCTTGTCCTCATTTAAATATCATCTTTACCAATTCCTTCTCACATCCCAAAATGACGTTATACAATAAAATAAATATTGTGAAACAGATTTTGACTGAGGTGAATGATTGATAAAATTTATTGTATTAATTTTAAAAATCAACCCATGCTTATTTTATTTTATTTTTATTTTCATTTAAATAATGTTGTTTTTTTTATTTCGTTTTTTCTCAAAATTTTATTTTATTTTTACTTGTTTTAATTTAATTTCACTGAAGATACTGTATATATTCTTTAATATTGATTAATGTAATTTTTGGCCAGATGTAGTTTTAATTTTTTTGTTCATATCTGTTATTCATAAGGGACCTTGTCCCAGAATAAAGTTTACTTTCTATCTATCTATCTAGAAGGATATTGGTACATGTACTTCTCGCAGCCATTCGAACTCCCATGCGTCTAACAGAGCCAGCAGCTCTTCAAAACTTGAGTAGTCGGCCATCCTGATAGTAGATCTTTTTTCAAAGATCTTTCAAATATATATAATAGTTGAAAACAAAATAAAATGTTT